TTTTTTTTTCTTAATGACTTTTTTAGAATAAAGCATAAAAGGGAAGCCAAAACTATTGTCTTTTAGAACTGTCATCTTACTATAACTGAAAACCGTAGAGACATTGGTCGGCTAGAATAAATTTTTTTATCTAAACACGTTGATTGGAATATTCTTATTAACAGCTAGCTAAAGCACTAATGGCGAAGATAAAGCATGTTGACAAAATATGCACATGTGGACTGAGGTCAGCTCACCTGTTTCAGAATAAGTTGATCCTGACAAGAGTTTTCACGCATGCTGATCGGATTGTCAATCGACATAAACCACCTTTTTTAGCTCTTAAATCTGATCCTGCTGAATCTGATCAGATTGTTTCAACTATCATGTTTACATGACACATTTTTAGTCCAATGAGCTATTTATTCCACCTACTTATGTCCTTGTAAACATGGCTGCTGTTGCAAAGCTTTTCTTTGGTTGTTAAAAACACACAAATCTGTGAGAGATATCGTGGGGATAACATCTGAAAATTTAATGCACCAAGTAAAAAAAAAAAAAAAGATAAAATTAATTCAAATTCTTTTCTATTGAAAGAAGAAAGACTGACAAGAGGGGAATATTTTTTTTAGAATCCTATGTAGACAGTGCAGAGGCTGCACTGTTTCACATATATGATGATTTGTGAAAAATATTTCTAAGTCCCCACATAGATGTTTTTTCCTACAAGATATTTAAAAAAAAAAGTCTAGGTCCTATTCGTCTGAAAGTCTACAATCCTTTTAATTCAATCAAGTGGTGTATCAGCTTTTAAATTACACAGAGAAATACATATTTTCATATCTGTTAATGTGTATGAAAAAGAAAAGAAATTTCAGACTAGCAAATAATATCTTTTTTTTTAACAAGATGCCTGAGAGCACAACATAGATTCATAAGAGGTCAGTCAATCTCTTTTCCACACTGTGATTGAATACCTCTTGTGCAGTAACTCAAAATGTAAAATTTCCTTAGTAATAATATATTATAAGGTCAGCTGTTAGTGTTAAGAATAACAACTCAACCACTAAGTTGTGGGCCCTAATAAATAAATACATAACAGAGCAGTAAGGTGCATAATAAATAGATGTCTTCAATGTTCTGCAGTGAGAAGCTTCAGACCTCGAAAACCATTGATCAGCTGGATCCAACTGCACTGAAAAACAACAGGGAAGTAAAGCACACCCCAGCGGACTGTATAGCGGTGGAGATGTGATCTACAGTGAATCATGCCTCTTTGTCTGATTATCCAAGGGAAAGCCTGGGTTCAGCAGGCACCTGCTATCTATCTAATGCCAGACTGACTTGAAATGAACAGAGTTATGTGGCATCAAGGTAACATTAATCCTGTGTTACAGAGCTGTTAACATGAGCTTAATTAACCGACTCTAACTCCATAGACTTCTTTGAGCTACTTTATATCTCATTAGTATCATGTTTAATTTAGAGCCGGGTTTTTGCTGAAAGCAGGATTCCATGCAGTGTCCTTGAAACTGCAGTCACCCACTTGGTGAGTGACAGCACAGTTCCAGCAGAAGCTGTTGTGTTTGGAATTTTCATTAACACCTAAGAAGGTGTCAGTAACAGTTTACTTCTGTAAAGCTGCCCATAAACAAAACAGCAATCGAGACAAAGTCCAATCCCCTAGATCCAAGTTAAAACATCAAGAAGCCTGACCAAACAGATGGCAGAGTAAGAGGGCCTTCTTAAAAAATATGATCTTTTCAATTTGTGGAGGTTTTTTTTTGTTTGTTTATTAGATCACCAGCTTTGTATTTACAGTCTTTCCTGTTTTGTTTGATTTGTCCTGATGGTACATAAGGCGCTTGAAAATATAGTGAAGAGAAAAGCAGGTTAACGGCGAAATATTTCCCTCAGGTCTGGGAGCAGATGTAAACAGACAGCATACTGTGCAAAACCAAGGCAGCTGACAGCATTATAATGGCCACCGTGCTGCACTGGATCCTGTAAGATCAGGTTAAACTTGACTCTGTGCAGAAATGGTTTTAATTTAACTGCTTAATTAAAACAAATGGAAATATTGGGAAAACTGAATGGGTAATTTTACTTTCCTATTTATATATTATCATTAAATTATTACTTTGTGTTACTATCCTAAATTATATAATTCATGCAGTGCTCTGAATTATTTTACATTTCATTGGGATTTTATGTCTGAGAAAAATTATGAATTTTATGAAAATTATGAATTATGGAAAAAGGAAGAAGAAACAACACATTTCATTAAATCTTTTACGAAACTGAAATCTGAAAAGTGTGGCATGCATTTATTAGGACTCTGAGACAATACCGTGGAAAGCAGCATCCAGCTGCATTTACAGCAGTGGAGTAATTTGGTGCTAACCTCTGTTAAGGTGTGTTCACACCGAATGTGAAACCTGTGAACATTTTGTCAGATTCATCTGCTTTTGAAATTCATCCGCCTTGAAATTTGCTTGGCCAGCAAAAGCCTTTTGCATGGTGGGATAATTTGCATGGTGGGATAATTTGCATGGTGGGCGAAAAGCTCCTATATCAAGGAGTCTGCTGGTCATTGGTTTCACCTCATGATGGCAGAAATAGATTTATAAAGCACAATGTGTTGTCATTGGCACTAAAGTGTGGTTTTACAAAAATCACAGCTTACCATGGTGTAAACTGCATACGTTCTCCCTCTTCATCCATCTCCATGCTTACACTAGCAGCAGCTGAGAGAATGCTCAGAGAATGATTATGGCTGCCCGGGAGTAGGACATGATGTTTGTATGCTCTGTGGGGAGAGGAGACGAGTACCACAGACCCAGCAAAGCTTGCCCAGAAAGACACCGGCGGAGCTAGGGAGAGAAGGCATCTGTTTGCTCTCGAAGTAAGACCACGAAACGGTCCTTCTAGAGCTAAATTAAAAAGGCTTTTTTAAATGCCACCTTAAATCCTCTTAAGAGCATTCCCACTTCATCCTTTCTCATCATTATTTTCTCTATCTTCCATTTCTACTTAAAAAACCTTGTCTCCGCTGAACTCCTTCACTGTAGCCCACAGCCACATCTAGTCCCTGACTGGACTATGTGACGCAAATGTAAACAAGAGTTCTGATTTTTCAACTTCATTCGCAGGCGAGGCGGCGATCAAATGTCGCATCACAATTGGGCCTTTACCTCCCGAAATTTGTCACCTTTGCTTCTCTATCTACATAGAGATGAAATAGGAATCCATAGCGAAATTTGCATCCGGTGTGACCGTTCCTTTTAGAGTTATTATTGTTAATTAGAGTGATCGATTTCTAGTGTGCAAGAACTAAACATTGAAACAGAATGGTCTCGAACAAAGAAAAAAGTGTTTATGGGAAAGGCAGACTTATTCTTATACACTGACCTGAATAAAACTAACAATTTGCAGGAAAATGTTATTCTAAATTTTACTTCTTACTTTCCAAGTTTTCACAATCGATCAAAGCAACTAGGTAGGTTTTCTTAATTCAGACATCTTCCAGCACCTGCAATTTTTCTGTACGAAAAAAAAAACCCTACACAGAATGGAATCTTGGCCAAACCGACTTGCGAAACAAAGTTTAAAAAAATGGGACAAAAAGTTAACGGAAACTCTTCAGCCATCACAGCAAAATTTTATTTGACGTAGGCTAAGTGGAAGTAGACTACCGGTATCCGATATTTCAAGGGAAATTCAGAAAAATGAAGGCCAATAAAATTCTGTCATTTTAATGCTGCCTGGTTACCACCAGACCTACCGGTAATCACGTGTCTTTCAGATAGGAAAGATTGTGTAAGGTCACTACGATCTCTGTATAAGCACGGGACTTCCCATGTTAATGGCTTGGATTTGTTAGCAAACATTGCCCCCATGTGGTACTTGTATGTTACTATCACAAGTTGTTGAGGACTGCCCACAAACATTGTTATAGCCAGGCCTGTATACGAGTCCGGCCATTATTTACCTACGCCGACAACGAGACCGGCCATTGTGAGAGTCCTGGCCTCAAAAGTAATACAGGCCAATATTAGAGGATTTACGGTATTTTACTCCAAAGATCTGAATGTGTGTGTAGATAGATGACATGGCAGTGGTCAACTGCAAAAACCATCTCTGTCTTTCAAATGAAATTTCTTTTTCGATTCAACTGAATCGGTTTTGATCTGATCAGGCCTTCAATACGATTCTTTGTGTCCATGTAACATTATAACAGAAAAAGCAGACAAAGCTACCTAGAATAAAGAAAACTATTAGCTACAACAAAACTATTTGCCATTCATTAACCAGGATTCTGTATTCATCTTCATTTCTTAGTGAAGACAACAACAAAGAAGCTCCTACTTCAAAGCAACTCTGGTGCTCAACCCCATTGATTAATACAACCAATTTAAAACAAAAAAGGTATATACTAGCCCAAAAAACCCCTAATAGACCCTTTATATAATATATTTTAGAGATTCAAAGATTTGTAGATATTTTCTCTGCAAACTTTGAAATATTTTATTTGTTTCCATACAATTAAGCATGTTTAGTTTATTACAGAATAGATAAAACAAAAACAACTTGATTTAAAAACTCGAAAAGGTGTGTATTTTTTTTCATGCCACTCTTCAGTAAGGGCCTGACTACTAAAAGCAATTTACTGCCCTGGATTTAGTTTTGGGGAGATGAAGCTTCATAAAAATGCCCTTTTTTTATTTAGATTTTAATTAACAAGTATTACAACCCATGTATAGACCCCTTTTTTTCTTCTATACTGTTATATGCTGCTTTATGTCACTTTTTTACAAAAAATGCAATAATACACTTATAGATCATGCCTGTAATTGGCATGGTACAAATAAACAGAAATGTGCTTTTCATGGAATATCAAATCTTTACTCAGATAAAAAGATTCAAGTAATATGACTTCTATGACACTTAAAAAGACATCTAGAAAAATACAAAGATCGGTTTGCACCAGTGCGGCACACAGAATAAAAAACAAAGTGTACCTGAGATGTCTGTATCACTGAAAGATTCCTCTTGTTCTGACAGCCTCTTCTCTGCCTGTCGTACCTCAGGAACATAAAAATCCCCCTGCCGAGCCAGAGGGACGATGAACTGGATCTCACCCTCTCTGTAGAGCTCCAGGAATGGGTGAGCACAGAGCCTGCGTTTCTGGGGGATAAAACAAAACATAAAATATGGTTACTAATATGAAATATTTAAACAGGGTTATCACACTGATTAAAAAAAAGATCACTATGTTCAAAATATAAAACAATTTATAATACAGGAAAATTACTTGAAATTGCCTATAAAAGAAGACATTCCAGTTCTCCTTTACCTAGTACTGTTTCCAGTCTTAAATGTAGGAAAATTTGACATTATTTTTTTGGATAATAAGCCTTAACTATTGATAACATTATTTTTACGAGAACAGTCTTTATATTTCATAAGCTCCCTTTGGATATATTTGCTTCACATGAGTACCATTACAGTGGGCTTGATCAAGTCATGAATAAACCAGACTCAATGCAAATATTTTTTTTTAGATCTAATTCTATAAACCTCAGGAAATGAAATAAAATGTCTAATAAGGAAATACCATAGCAGGACTCTGCCAAGAAGGAGTTCGACACTCACCGGGAGCTGATGAAAAGCTACATCTTAGAACTCCCAAACCAGTGAGGGATAAAAGATTTGTTTCAGCACGCATTCAACTCGCAGACAACTAAAACTGCAGAAAAAGATTTGTCTTTTTCTTGAAAATATAACAAGTTGTTTTTGTTTTTCAAAGTAAGCATGCAGCTTTTGCAGTTTTTTTTATTATTTCTCTCTTCTTGTTGAAATTATTAAATTACATGGGCTAAAAATTTAAACCTAAAAACATCTGAAAAGGATTCAATTTTGGTTTGGTTTTTTAAAACTTTAAATTCCACATGTAGTATAGAAAATAAAATTTGGATCCACCGATGCAGATCCGCTCATAAAATGTGTTGCCTTAAAGGAATAGTACACCCAAAACATGATTAGCCTTCATTTTCTACTCACCCCCATGCTGAACAACACTCTGGAGTACTTTTTTGATATCTCAAATGCATCTGGAGATCTGGGAGGCTTCTTGCTGTCTGCTGACATTCAAATAATGGAGGTCTATTGTGCCCGAGACAGAAAGGTCCATAAAAGTCCACAAAAACGTGTCAATATTCCTCCATACTGCTCGTCCAATGTATTCCAAGTGTCCTGAGTGGGTAGCATCCAGAATTTACTCGAAACGAAGTCATTTAGAATGTTTTTAGAGCATAAACAGTAGTGTATAGTATTTCCTAAAAGCGCGTTCACGAGTCTACGGAAACCGCGGCAGACCAAACCAGACGAAAGTGCGCATTCAGCTCGGCAAAGAACTCCTGCTCTTCCTCAACACTGAAGTCCTCAGACATTTTTCTTTCGTTGTTTCTTTCTTTGCACAGGTAAACAGCACATTTCTTCTTCTACGCTTGCATTATCAGCAGAGCAGACGCTTAATGCGCACTTTCATCTGGTTTGGTCTGCCGGCTTCCGTAGCGTCCTGAACGCGCTGGCGCGCGCTTTCAGGAAATACTATACACTACTGTTTATGCTCTAAAAACATTCTAAATGACTTCGTTTCGAGTAAATTCTGGATGCTACCCACTCAGGACACTTGGAATACATTGGACGAGCAGTATGGAGGAATATTGACACGTTTTTGTGGACTTTTATGGACCTTTCTGTCTCGGGCACCGTAGACCTCCATTATTTGAATGTCAGCAGACAGCAAGAAGCCTCCCAGATCTCCAGATGCATTTGATATATCAAAAAAGTACTCCAGGGTGTTGTTCAGCATAGGGGTGAGTAGAAAATGAAGGCTAATCATGTTTTGGGTGTACTATTCCTTTAATCAACAATCAAGAGCACACTTGCTCTTTCCTGAGCGTGTGTGTGTATATATATATATATATATATATATATACGCTCAGGAAAGAATAAGTATATATAAGTATATATACTTATATACAAGTATATACATATATATATATATATATATATATATATATATATATATATATATATATATATATATATATATATACATACATATATACATATATATATATATATATATATATATATATATATATATATATATATATATATATATAAGTCATTGCACATTGCAATGGATGATTAAAAATCTATTTTCTCATTTCTGAGGGTTTTCTTCAGTCAATAATAATAGATTTCCAGTAATTTTAGCCCAAGGCAAAAATTTGTTTCAATAATTTTTTTTCTAGAAACCAATCAGACTTTTCAAATAATTAATCATGTTAGAGTCACTTGCATTTAGTGTAATGTTTTAAGTTCAGCATCTACTTCTAATAGGAAAGTAAAAAGTTCGTAAGAAACGGGGTCTCTTGTTCTTAATAAAGTCTGAGTCAACCAATAAAAGAATAACATTAGACAGGGCATCTTCACTAGAAATGGACCAGTACATTGGCTGGCCAATATATCTGGCTGATTTTTGCATTTTTTCTTGTCTCTCGGTATCAGCCTCTACATGCATGCATTGCCTGATTCATTAGTGTAGCCAGATGCATTGCTATCTTAACCCTGTAATGCTCACCGTGCACTGCTAGTTGCTCACTGCTCCGCAAAGGATTGATTTGGCAAAGATAAGTTTTGTTATACTGTGCAACTGGAATGACACAAAAATGTGATTATACTGTTATTATGATGACACAGCTCCCACGTAACCCCAAGTCCATTTGATCAGGTTATTGCATTTAAAACATTTGCTTATTTGTTCACACAATGCCTTTATTTTTATTTATTTATTTTTTACCTCGAAAAATTACAGTTTGGATCAAGAAATTAGGGCTGGGCAATATAACAAAGTCAGAGTATCTTGCTTTGCTGTCTTGCAGTTTAAAACAACACAATCCTGGTATATGGTAATATAAATTAAAATGTTGATACTATTTGAGAACAAATATTTATGGCAATTATAGGCCACTGACATCTAATCCATTGGAAACTCTGCTCTTCTCTCTTGCTCTCCAACAGGGATTAAACTGAAAATTCCAGAGATTGTTTAAAAGGTATCTGATAAGCTAAAGCATGATGACACTATATGAAATATAATACAGAACAAAGTGTTTCCTGCTTTGCAGTATCAGTTGTTGAATTTAGTGACAGATGTATTTTTAAAGGAAAAGGAGGTCTGTATAGAGGAATGTAGAAGCTTGAAACAAAACTAGACTTTTAGCACAAGTCGACCCAGTTGCCAGATCTCATCTGGAATGCATCAGAAATTACTCAGGTGCTATGGTGGAAACATTTTGGCAGCTAAGCTGACCAAAGGTGTATCAACGTGTCGCTCTGTATCTGTCATTAGGTGTGCCCCTGAGTGTATAACCAACCTAGGTCTTAAGTAAACAAAGATAGGGAACCTACACACCCCTACAAGCCTGCATCGTGTCATAAGCTATGACATAACTTATGAAGACTCGTGGTTACTGACCAGGAGTTTGACAATCACAGGCAGGCCAACTAGATTTGTCTTAGCAAGAGAGAATCCGATTTATAAAACAAGAGATAAGATTAATTCATGATGGCTGTGAAGTAAAAATATGTTTTTAATAAATATTAATAAATTAACTTATATTTCATTATTTAGGATAAAAATAATCCTAATAATTTGATGCACATTGAAATTGTCCCGTTCACAAATAGAAATACACCACTTTTTAGGGAAAGCCTCTCCAACTAAACCATTTCAGGTTTTTAATAAATACTGAACATATTGTGTTATGAAGCTTATGCCAAAATTCAACCTGGAAGACTCTCATCAGCCTTAACTGGAACACCTGCTGATGTGCATTGCTCAAGCTTCAGCAAATTGTGACGGACTGCACCAAGCCATTCGTTTCTCAAGAAACTCTTCAATAAGACGAAGGTCCAGCCTCCCAATTCAGCACATCCGCTGAACTTTGACCTACTCCTACCCCCATCTCATCCCTCATTCTTAGGACTATTCTGAGACCCTCTCATCCTCCAGCTTACTCCATCACCGGTCTCCAGTCCCCGAGGAGAAAACGACTCTAACACTGTTCCTTAGTTATTCATCCAAGCTGATATCGACTTCCAGCATCAAGTCTTCTGCTGGGGTCCAAGCCTCAAGGAACTTATTTCATTCATATCAAAAAAAATCTTTCTAACTGCTTCTTTTCTCCATGTGAGTGTGTCCAGGTTGAATTACTGTTGATTAATGCGAACATTACAGAGACTAAAAGTGACTGTATGGAAGCTAACCCAGTTAACATGTTTTGATTTAACATGTTTTTTATAAAGATAAAACTAACTTTATTTCAATAAGGGTTTAAACACCAGTACAACATGACCGTTTTCCCCCCTGATATGTTCATTGCAGGTAATTGCTAAAATATGACCAAAGAATCATTTTAAATTAAGTTCCTTTGTGTCTGCAAGCTACTAGCTCCTTTGTTTTACCAGAAGGAGCTATGTCGTCCTCACCTTAAATATTCCCTCTGGTTAATAATCAGTTATCTAAAAAGTTATGGGTTTCTGATTTGAAAAAAAAAAAATTAATAAATAATTATTTTAACAAAAAATATTTTATTTACCTCTAGGATTTGCATTATGAATTTGTTTGAACACATTCTATTTCATTTAAATTAGTTAAAACCTAATTTCATTCCAAACTCTTCAAGATGAACTTTGCTCTAAAACATAAAATCCATGCCACACTGTGATCTTATTGCTTTAACTGATTATGGTTTCTAACCATTTACTTTTCTTCTTTTTCTCTGTATATTAGCTTAGTTGAGTTTCACTAGTTTAGTTAAGAGCTTTTAAGTTAAATATGTTTGAGTTTTAATAAACTCATATTTTGAATGTATGCTTTGATTATATTCTGTGTGCATAATTAAATGTTTGACCATGATTAGAGCTTGACTCACACTTTCATCCGTTGTCCTGAGACACAGCCGGTTGGGAGGATGTTTACAGAACAATATATGACAGACTAAAAGTTATTTGGTTAAGTAGCAAAATTACAACAGCATTTAATTGCACATTCCTTTGCTGTCCCCTGGATGGAGACTGAATGTAAATGTCAAATAGCAGTAGCAAAGCCA